GGGAAGCCGTTGAAGGATTTTGGAGCAGAGGGGTGATGTGATTTGACCTACCTCATAATAGTATCATTCTGACTGCTGAATTATATGTGGACAAGGGTGGAATCAGGAAGAATCAAAGAGAGAATTGGTATATTTTTGCAATACCAGTGACACACAGGGCGGTTGATATCAGGGAGGTGGTGAGGAGTGTTTGAATTCTGCATATGTTTTAAGGTAGAACCAAAAGATTTCCTGCCAGAGCTCAAGTGGAACAAGAGAAAGAAAGGAATCAAAATCTGTGGCTCAGTGACTTTCTTTCTTTCTTTCGAGAGAGTGAGAAGGGGTGAAGGGGCAGAGGGAGAGGGAGAGAGAATCTCAAGCAGACTCCCCACTGAGCACGGAGCCAGATGTGGGGATTGATCTCAAGACCCTGGGATCATGACCTGAGCCAAAATCAAGAGTCTGGTGCTTAACCGACTGAACCACCCAGGCACCCCCTGTGACTTTCATTTCTAGAAATAGTATATCAGGAAGTGTATTCACATTCACTTCTTCTCTATTAGGTAGATCCAAAGTCCTTTTTTTTTTTTAAGATTTCAATTATTTGACAGAAAGAGCGCAAGAGTGAGAGAGCACAATTAGGGAGAGCTGCAGAGGGAGAGGGAGAAACAGGCTCCCCACCAAGCAGGGAGCTGGACGTGGGGCTCGATCCCAGGACCCTGGGATCATGATCTGAGCCAAAGGCAGACGCTCAACCAACTGAGCCACCCAGGCACCCCAGATCCAAGGTTCTTAATTAGGTAATCTCACATGTTTAAAAATATTGTCCACGGTAGTAATAATAATAATACCCTACAACCTATTAAGTGTTGAGTCCTTTAATCTGACTATCTCATGAGGCAGGTATTATTTTTCCACTATTTATACATGTGTGAACAAAGACAAGATTAATAACTGACAGCTTCCCTAATTTTTATCCTCACTTCCAACTTAGGACCAACCAGCAAAGTCCAAATATGCACCCCTAACCATTATGTAGGACGCCCCCCTTCTAGTTAGCCCACCTACATTTCCCTCATGCCAATAGCCTTCAATCAGGACATACCTAAGTCTTCCTCTTTTTTCACTGTAAAGTTTTCCCACTCTTTTGCCTTTCTTGAGTCTCTGTTAAGATATAAGTCATAGTGGCTGACTTCCTTGTTATAGCAAGTTTGAAATAACTAGTCTTTGGGTGTCCTCATTTGGTTTGTCTTCATTTATTTCTACAGGTGTCTTAGGTCAGGTTCCCTGGGAAATGGACTTTGAAGTCCAGATTCAAGTATAGATTTATTGGGGACATCCCCCCCATGAAGGGGATGATGGGGACAGGATGGGGCAGACAGAGAAGCTGAGCTGTGACACAGTTGCACTAGAGCTTTAACCAGTCTCATGGGGAACTCTGAGTCAGGTTGGCCCTTTAGAAATGTACCCTGGCCTGGATCAGTTGTTGGACGCAAGGTACCCTTGGGAAAGGAGAGGAACTTAGGCAAAGGAGATCTCTTTGATCAAAGGCAAGTCCAACGGGAGAACCTAGCTGTAAACTCTCAGCAGCCAACACTCTGGGCAGCTGGGGAACAAGTGCTTGGATCACCTTCAGCGCGGGGGAGGGTGGAGAGTAGATGACCCTACCAAACACACAGTTGGCAGCACATCATGACTCTAACGTAAACTTTGAATCCAAATTTAAAGCTCCTTTCACTACAATATAGCTGTTTTCACTTAAAAAAAAAGTGACAAATGGAGATTTTGTGACCATTTATTTTCTGTTCTCCTAATCCAAAACCAAGACCATATTTGTAAAATGATTCTGACATTTTTAGTAAGTGATTGTGTGCATAGTGGTTGACTCAATTGAATATGGTATTTAAAGATCTGAAATAAAACCCAACCAACCAAAGCAGTTAACTGAATTACCACATATAGACATTTATATCATCTTAATATTATGGTACTTTCCTAAATGTTCTACTCTACTCAGTAGAGTAGAACATTGTGACCTCCAGCTTTCCAGCTTGAGATGTTGACAAATTGAAAATAAATCGATGAGAAAATAGTACCATTCCCACTTTAAGGCTATACATGCCCTAGTGAAAATTATTCCATCTTAGTTTAGATATTAATAAAACATATCTTAGAAGTTAATAAAATATTAATTTTATCCTTAAAAGAATCTAGTTCCCTACCTTACTTTCATCACTAGTGTTATATGATTATTGTAGGACTTTTAGGTTTACTTGAGCTAATTAAACTCAATACTTCTTTTTTTGGTTTTATAAACAAAGCAGCTGATACTGTATCCAGTAATTGGAATTTTCCTGAAGATTATCAAAAACATATGCCAAGTTCTGTCTACCAATTAGTCTGAATCGTCCCTTTAATATTTGTAAATAAATCTAAAATTTTGAAAAATAAAAGTCTGTCTGTTAGCATATTCTCTCACAATCACATGAACTTTTGAATATATTACTCATCATTCCCAGAGCTTTTGGCTTTTTCCCTTTTCTGTTAGTCCTGGAAACTCCCTCACCCATACTCACTTCCTTCTCCCTCTCTGCAAAAGGAGTCACCTCATGATTAACCTTGTATGGGATCTCAGCCAAATTGTAATCCCAGGTAGCTTTTGCCCATAGCATAGCATGGTGGTTCTTAAACTTTGAGTCCTAAGACTTGTCAGGGGAATCTATTACAACAGGAGATATTAGAGATTCATCCTAGATCTAAAGATTCAGAATTTCTGGAGGTGATGCTCAGACAAATGTATAACTGAATTTCTCTTTGTGGAATTCTGTTAAGTATCACAGCCTGAGAACCACTCACAAGTAAATTTCACATTTCTAGCAACTGATAGAGTTTTCTGGCCATAGAATGTTGGGATGAAAGTGGCATTTGGGGTCTATTCTTTTCTAGCATTGTGTGTATAATAGTCTATGGAGGAGGAAACAATAGGCTGACTTTTCCCAGAAGTAATCCATTTGTATAATAAAGCCTATCAGAATAGAAACATTATAAATGTAAAGAATGGGAGCTGTTTGAGAAAAACTGCTGTAGAAGAATTGGAAGGACCAGGTGATTTCTAGAATGCTAAAGCCAAAAGATAGTAAAGGAGTTGAAGGTACCATTGGGAAAATGGCTATGATGGAAATTATTGAGCAAATATTAAATGTAGCACAGGATGAGGTGATAGGAAGACCACAAAGATAAAAACACATAATTTAATTTACTTCAGTAGGTATTTATTGAGTATCTACTATGTGCACAGCATTGTCCTAAAGTGTACCAGGGCATGGTTCCCAAATCTAGATTTGTATTATGTTCAGCTGGGGAGATTTTTTAAAAAGATTTATTTATTTATTTTAGAGAGAAAGAGAGACAGCACACATGTGAGTGGGGAGAGGAGCAGAGGGAGAGAGGGAATCTCAAGCAGACTCCCTGCTGAGTGCGGAGCCCAAAGTGGGGCTGGATTCCACAACCCTGGGATCATGACCTGAGGTGAAATCAAGAATCGGAGGCTTACCTAATTGCTCCACCCAGGTGCCCCCAGCTATGGAGGTTTTTTTTGTTTTGTTTTGTTTTGTTTTGTTTTGTTTTTTAGAGAGAGAACGAGACAGAGAGAGAGAGAGCATGAGAGGGGGGAGGATCAGAGGGAGAAGCAGACTCCCTGCTGAGCAGGGAGTCCGATGCGGGACTCGATCCTGGGACTCCAGGATCATGACCTGAGCCGAAGGCAGTCGCTTAACCAACTGAGCCACCCAGGCGCCCTATGGAGTTTTTTAAAAATAAAATTCCTGAACCTCACATTAGCTTTACTGAATCTAAATATCTGGAGGTGAGTTTGAAAATCTTTAGTCTACAAGGCTCCTGTAGTGATTTCAATGCATCCAGTCAATGGACCAGTTATTTGGGAATCACTGTTCCAGAGACCACAAAAATGAGTGAGGCAGAGTTTTTTAAAAAGAACGTATAAACTGGTATGTTGAGCAAGTTTCCTGACTCTGCCTTATATTCATGGCTTCTAAGTTTTACTCAGATGCTTCTTTCTCTGAAATGTCTTTTCCTCATCTCTGCCATGAAAATATTGTCTGTCCTTCAAGATCCATTCAAATGTGGGAAGAATTGGGACCACATTCCCTATCACCACCCTTCCGACCCCACATTCATTATACAACCCAATATTGTAGAATCCACCCTTACAATATCCACATCACCCCTCATCTCCTTTTTAGCCTCATCTCCCCCTCATTAGCTCACCTGAACCACTGAATGGCCTTTTAACTCATCCCTCATGCTCCATCTGCCCTCCTAACTCCAATGTATTCTTTATGGTTCTTTTAATCTTGCACAGTTCAATTATAACTGTTTTTTCATATTGCAAATAAAGTTTACTGTTTCCCCATTACCGACAAAATTAGGGATAAAAATGCTCCAGTCTAGCATTCAAACTTCTTTATCAATTAGAATTCCTTTTGTTATAAGCAATAGAACCAACTCTGACTAATTTAAGCAGAAAAAAAGGTATAGGCTAGTTCACAAAATTGAAGTTTCAATCATTTCCCTTCTTTGTATGATTCTTCTCAAAATTCTCATTCTTAGAGAATGATTAATTCAACATATTCCCAACTGCTATTAATAGAAAGACAGGGAACACTGACTGAAAGACCACTTACAATTATGCTCACTGGGTAAAGATAGTTCTTTGAAAACAAAATTAGGGTGCTGTTACCAAAAGGGAAAGTGAATGTTAGGATCAAAACCAAGAAATGTCCACTACTCACAAAATATGGCCCCAATCCAACTGAAGTAAAACTGACAATGATAGAAGTTCTGTGCTTTCCTTTTTGAGGAAAATGGGAAAAAAAAACAAGGAAGCGAATTCTTGGTAGTCTCAATGTTCTCAGGGTTGGAGGAGAAGAGGCTAGTGCTTTGAAGTAAATGTGTAAACAACGTGTGGAATGATTCAAGAAGTAATTGTGAGTCATAAAGGTAAAGATAAACAGCTTTCATATTTTCTGTCTGTGAACAAGCCATTTCCATAGAACTACAGTGTCCTTTGCCAAACATCCAATAGTATTTTTTGAAAAATATGTTAACCACCATAATACAAGAACAGCCAGAATTTTATTAAGGAGAGAGTCAGTAGGGAAACAGTAACTTCTATAACTTTAGGAGGGTAACAAGTCTTCCACTTCCAAGTTCAAGAAAGGAGCAATGATCTCCCGTAGTTCCCACATTCTGCGGTGTCCAAGCATTGTTGGGAGTAAGCTTTCAAAGATAAATGTAGCATCAAAAAATAGTATGTAACATGAAAGTCCAGTGAAGGTGAGGACATAAAACATGATGAAAATCCTCAGTGCACGTTTCCTGCAAGGAAAGCGAACATCTGTGTTAAGAACATTCTGAAGAAAACCACACTGATGAGACTCCTGGTTCCTCCACCCAGTTAGTTCTATAATGTCAAGGAAGTAACTGAACTTCTCTTGACCTCAGTTGACATCCACAAAAGAAGGAGCTTGGAGTAGTTGAGCACTTAAGTCCCTCCTAGGGCTGGTATTGGAATTCTAAGGTTTTATAGCCATGAAACAATGAAACCCTGAAAATTATGAGACTCTTTCCTTTGAAATACTCTTCTCACACTCTAGCAGACTATTGATACCTTTTCCTCACTTGTGAGGTATCTGACACAGATTCAGAGGGAAATAAAGGACCAGGCAGTTAGATTTTCTGGGGATATAAAATGCAATGTGACAAATGGAGTCTAGCTCTACCACTAGTTTTATCCTGGTACCAGACTTACCCTTTTAAAGTAATATAAACTTTCTCAAGTCTTTCAGGACTCCTCCTCCTAGGCTGGGCCTATGATCTATTTCATTTATTTGCTTTTAAATCCTTCCATTATTATTTTCTAATTATCAATGCAATACATGATTAGGGTAGAAGATCTGGAAGATCCAGAAAAACACAAAGAAGGAAAGAAATGTCACAGATACTCCAGCTACCTGGAGCTAATGACCATCAATAATGTATTTTAGAAGAGAAAATTTAGAGCACAGTTAAAGCTAGCTATGGATCTATTTTGTGATCCAACTCAGTGGATTCTGTAAACCTGAGCCAAGTTGTTTGGCATTATTGCCACTGGTTGTCTCTTGGTAGTTACGCAAATAATTGCTTCTATTTCACACATTTTTTTTCAATTAAAGATTTTTTTTTTTAAAGATTGTTTATTTATTTATTTATTTGACAGAGAGAGACACAGCGAGAGAGGGAACACAAGCAGGGGGAGTGGGAGAGGGAGAAGCAGGCTCCCCGCAGAGCAGGGAGCCCGACGCGGGACTCGATCCCAGGACCCTGGGATCATGACCTGAGCCAAAGGAAGACACTTAACGACTGAGCCACCCAGGTGCCCCAATTAAAGATTTATTTATTTATTTCAGAGAGAGAGGGAGAGAGAGAGAACATGAGCGGGAGGGGCAGAAGGAGAGGAAATCTCAAGCAGACTCTGCACTGAGTGTGGACCACCATGTGGAGCTCAATTCCACGACCCCAAGATCATAACCTGAGCTGAAACCAGGAATTGGTTGTTTAACCAACTACGCCACCCAGGTGCCCTATCACACATTTTATGAAAGAGCCAATGTTTTGAAAAATACTCTAGTCAGAAGAAGCTTTGAGGGCTGCTAAGATGAAGCAGAGATGCCCTGCCCTCGAGAAGTGCTAAATCTAGATTTGTTTTTTCTTATGAAAAGAAAAATGACTCACTACCAAAACATAGCTAGTAAATAAACACTGTTCTTCTTAAATTCTAAAACCAATCATCTCTGGAAATACCAAACTGGAACATTTTCAAAGGGAAACATTTTAACATATTTTTTAAAGAGAAAAATAGTTTTTCTAAATTACAGATAATTTGGAAAACAGAGAAATGAAAAAATTATAATCTCATCACCCTAATATCATTAGCTCAGTTTTCTTTTTTTTATTTTTATTTTTATTTATTTATTTTTTTTTAAGATTTTATTTATTTATTTGACAGAGACAGAGACAGCGAGAGCAGGAACACAAGCAGGGGGAGTGGGAGAGGGAGAAGCAGGCTTCCTGCTGAGCCGGGAGCCCGATGTGGGACTCGATCTCAGGACCCTGGGATCATGACCTGAGCCGAAGGCAGTCGCTTAACCAACTGAGCCACCCAGGTGCCCTGTATTAATTTTTTAAATTTTTTGTTTTATTTTGTTTGTTTTGCTTTTGGCTTAGAGTGTGTTCTTCCAGTTTTTTCTTTCCTTCACTGAACACTCTAGGTATGGTTGAGTTCAGATTTATGCATTTATTTATATATATTTATCTTTCAGATTTATTTTTTGACACTACTGAATCATTTGATTTTGATTTACAAGTCAATATAACATAAAATATTTTTCACATTTTCTATTATAAAACAAAAGAACATGTGCAATATTTATTTTTTAAAGTGCAGACTTTCTTTGGAAAACATCATAGCTACTAATTCAAAATAATTTCTTTGAGGGACGCCTGGGTGAATCGGTCAGTTAAGCATCTGCCTTTGGCTCAGGTCATGATCCCAGGGTCCTGGGATTGAGTCTCGCATCAGGCTCCCTGCTCAGTGGGGAGCCTGTTTCTCCTTCCCCCTGCTTGTGCTCTCTCTCTCAGACTTCAAAAAAATAAATAAAATCTTTGAAAAAAACAACAAAATAATTTCTTTCATATCACTTGTGTGGAACCAAATATTAGTGTCATTAAATATTTTATTCATTTTGAATTTACCTTCTTTAAAGAATAAAAATTATTCCTTTGACTTTTTAAATACTGTTTATGTATCTATTTAGTTTATTTTTCAAGATTAGCCATGCATAAAACCTTTAATCTTTTCCAAAATGTTCACATTATTTGTGGAAAGTCTATAAGGGAACTGTGGAATTGGGGATTATGCCAGGAAGAGGTACCTTCTGAGCCTAAAAACAACAAAACCGAGACACAATGATAGACTAAGTCTGCAAGATAAACCTCCTCAAAAAGATAATGTATAAGTATGCTTCAGTGGAACCAGTACATTTCCAGTTCTTAGAAAGAAATTGGTCAAATCCTTAGGCGGTCTTAACTAGAATATAATGATGTGATGAAAGATGGCCAACTCAACTGGATTGTAATCTGCCCATTTAACACAATCAAGTGATGATCAATGCAATACATGATTAGGGTAGAAGATCTGGAAGATCCAGAAAAACACAAAGATTTACTTACTCGTTTGATTTTTGAGATATAATTTGCATGCCATAAAATTTACCCTTTAAAGTGTATAATTCCGTGGCTTTTAGTTTATTCACAGGGTTGTACAACCATCACCATTATCTAATTCCAGGAAATTGTCATCACCCCAAAAAGAAAACCTGTACCCATGAACGGTCACTCCCTATTTCCCACTACCCTAAGGCCTTGGAACTATTCATTTACTTACTGTCTACATGGATTTTCCTATTTTGGACATTTCACAGGAATGGAATCATATAATAGGTGGCCTTTTGTGTCTGACTTTCTTTCATCATGTTTTCAAGGGTCATCCACATTGTAGCATGCATTAGTACTTTGTCCTTTTTTGTGGATGAACAATACTCCATTGTATGGATATACCACATTTTGTTTACCTACTCATTAGTTGATGTATATTTGTATTGTTTCTATTTTTATGAATAATGCTGCTATGAACATTCATGTACAAGTTTTTGTGTGGACATATATTTTCAATTCTTCTGGGTGCATACCTAGGAGTGGGTAAGATGGTAGCTCTATATTTAACATTTTCAGGAACTGCCAAACTGTTTTCCAAAATGGCTGCACCATTTTACAATCCCTCTAGCAATGTCTGAGGGTTCTAATTTCTCCACATCCTCTCCAATGTTTGCTATCGCCTGTCCTTTCAATTATAATTATCTTAGAGATGTAGAGTGGTAGCTCATGATTTTGATTTGTATTTCCCTAATCACTGATGGTGTTGACTATCTTTTCATGTGTTTGTTTGCCATCTGTGTATCTTCTTTGAAGAAATGTCTATTCAAGTCCTTTGCTCATTTTAAAAGTTGGGTTGTTCCCTTTTCTGTTGTTGAGTCATAAGACTTCTTTATCTATTCTGGATACTAAATCCTTAAGTTCCAGGGTTCTGAAAAAGTTGATTCTGACTATTTTTTTCAAGCTCTTTCATTGATTTTTATGGAGGAAGAAATTTTCTGGGGTCTTTACTCCACTATTTTCATTGACATCACTCCTCACTTATTAATTTAATAATTGCTCAGCATGGTGAAGATGTTTTATATTTCATGTCCCAAAATGATAAAGATGCCTGCCATCTTGTAGCTCATGGATTATTAGGAGGAGACAGATTTGAAATAATTTAATTGCAATAATATACTGTGGGTTCTACATCAGGATTATGTGTAAGGTAGAATGCACACACAAGAGAGATTGCTGAACATTCTACTTGGATTGGTAGTTGGGGCTAAAGAATCAGAAAAGTTTTCTTAGAGGAGGGTATTACTCCAGGAATATATGATGGTGTGGCATCTTCAGAAAGGGATCCAAAGAGTCAGAATTTGCTAAGATGTATGTCTTTAATACCATACAAGTGAGAGGCATCCTGTCCAGTGAACAAAGGTTTCCAAATCTGCTTAGCAGGAAGGTTCCTTTGGTGAAGGTGGCTGCATCATAGATTGCAGACACCATCTTTTAAGATTTATGTACACATAGTTACCTAAAGCAAGAATAAAGAAATCTATATCTATATATCTAATGCAATAGATCTACAGCTAAAAATAATATGAAAAACACTATGACTCCAATAAACACATAGACTTTTAAAGAACAAGAAGAAATAATTTATAAAGGAAGGTAAAACAAATTTTTAGTCACTCCTTGAAGAAATTCATCATACTATGCTTCATACATTTTGGGGCCTTTGTCCAGCCCCAAAGCCCCCTTTCTCTGACTTACCACATTGTAATGCTGGCAGGAGTGTTCTGCGCTACAGGGGGTGGTGGAGCCTCAGGAAGCTGGGGCTCAATTTCTTCCATATCCATTTCTTCAGGACTCTGAAAGTCTGTTTTCCCTTCTTGCCCTTGGTACGTTCCCAGCTTTGTACTCAGCAGAGTCATGTCTTTGTAAAAGTTCTGAAAAAAAATAGCAATCAACTGTCACTTTAAAAAATGATTTTAGAGGTCTGCTAGTCTTATTGTAGATGATGCACAGTGGTTTTCCTCCAGAACACCTCAGGAGCCCACATTGCCAATCCCATGTGAGTCACATGAGGAGATCATTGGCAAGTGCATACTCACCTAGTAGAAAGAGACTTACACATTCACAAAATAAGGTAGCAGCATGGTAGACCCACATGCTAATCTCTAACTACTGACTTATTCATGTAGGAAGATAATTATCCTTATATTGAATTCATCTGTTCAATTTGTTCATCTATGAAAAACATATTGACTCCCACCAGGCACTATTCTAGGATACTGTGGTTAACAAAATAGATAAGGAATGTGTATTCTATTACATGTGCATTTTTAAACCAAATGGATAAGGAATTACATGCACGTTTATAGGGACTGGGGGAAAAGCAATAAACTACGAAATATATATATATATATACACATTAGATACTATAGATTAGGATACATGCTAAAGAGAAAATAAATAAGACAATGAGATAGGGTAGCTGAGGTTTGTTGGTGGGACACCTACTTCAGATAGGTGGGATGATTAGGCACCTCTGAACAAGTGACAGGTTGACTCACTCATTCATTGCTTCTTTCACCCATTCACATTTACATCAACATATTGTGGGAGGAGTTCAGATATGGAGTTATTTTTCTGGCTAGGGCAGATTATGGGAGGTCTGGAAGAGGCGAAGACATTTGAGCTGAGCCTTGAAGAATACATAACATGTCGACATAGAGGCTAAGCTCTAAATGGAGGAGATGTAGAAGCAGACCATGAGATGTTCTGTCCACCCAAAGCAGAGAGCCAGGAAGGGGAGAAAAAAGTGATAATAAAAGAGAAAGAAAACAGTAGGTGGAAAACCCTAACTTCTAGAAAAAGAATTATCCTTATATTTAGATTTTATCATTATTTGAACTTGAGTAACTGTGAAATCTTACCTTTATTCTTGCAATGAGTTTCTCCTTTAATTCATGAGCTTCATTACAAGCATCTTCCTGAAAAGACACCCACAATTTTGGGTAAAATAGAAATATATTTTTCTGGTTTATACCATAAAACCTCACTCATGTTGACACCACTTAGTTGTAAAGTGGCTTCTTTGAAGCTTACTTTTACTCAGTAAAATCTTTCCTCTTACAGCAAGTTCATAATATAATCATGATAAATTGCAGGAAGAAAAACTAAAAGATTAGTATAATTATTTTTAACACTTTAGAAGTATAAATTTATACAATAGCAGCTTATGATAAATCATCTTTTTCTCTATTCATTATTCTCTCCTTGTGCCTTAAAAATCTTCCAAGACACTAGGGGCTCCTGGGTGGCTCAGTTGGTTAAGCGTCTGACTCTTGATTTTGGCTCAGGTCATGATCTCAGGGTTGTAAAATTGAGCCCCATATTGGACTCCATGCTGGACGTGGAGCCTGCTTAAGATTCTCTCTCTCCCTCTCCTTCTCCCTCTGCCTCTCCCCACACCTGTGTGCATATGCGTGCTCCTTCTCTCTAAAAAGAAAACAAACTTCTAAGACACTAGTTGGAGAAAAAGTATGTTTCAGAGAAAAAAGAAAATTGTATTTCTTTTAAGTATTTTAAAATTTATAATATATGAATATAAGTTCTTGTTATGTTAGTTTGAATATTTGGACTTTATAGTTTAGCAAAAGAGCTATCCATAAAAAATGTCTGGTTCCTCTTTTCTTCCCATCTCCTGTAGGTCATGAGGTAGAGATAACAGATGGTTTGTGTTGGTTTCTATCAGTAAGTTCAAGAGACAGGCTGAAAGCAACTTTTCTAAGATAAGGATGCCAAATATACATATGTCAGGAGTAAATAACTCTTGTAAGGTTTTTAATTAATCATTCTATAATAGTCTTGCAGGATACTTTGAAAGGCAAAGCTATAGCAGGAAGAACAGTGTTCTGGGATTCAAGAAAGATGGGTGCTAGAGGTGCCATTTCTAGAAATTTTCCTTAAACAAGTACTTGCAAAAGCAAGCAAAGATATGGATTGGTGAGGCAAAATTTGTAATAGCACACATTTATTATAAAGCCCCAAGTATGCAATGAAATAAATTTAATAAATCCAAAAATCAAATCCTGCATTTACATAAACAATGAAAAGGTAAAATGGCAACTAGTGGCATAGAAAGTTGCTGAAGAAAAATGCTAAGGGAAAACAGCAAGTTGCAAAACAATATATATAATATAATCCTATTTAAATTATAACAACAACATGTAAGTACATGTATAGGAAAATTTAGAAGAATATAAATATACTAAAATATTCACTGTGTTGGGGCGCCTGGGTGGCTCAGTCGTTAAGCGTCTGCCTTCGGCTCAGGTCATGATCTCAGGGTCCTGGGATCGAGCCCCGCATCAGGCTCCCTGCTCAGCGGGGAGTCTGCATCTCCCTCTCCCTCTGCCTCTCCCCACTGCTCCTACTCTCTCTCTCTCTGTCTCAAATGAATAAATAAAAAAAAAAATTCTTAAAAAAAAAAATAAATAAAAAATAAAAAAATAAAATATTCACTGTGTTTATCATTGAGGGAGTGGGATTATTTTTCATTTTTATATGAAATAGTTTTATGTTTTAATTATTAAAATAAGCATGCATTACTTTTGTTAGAAAAAATACACACATTTTTATTTTTTAACAGGAGAGCAAGAATGAGACTAGTCTTTTCATCTAGAAATATGGGCAAATCATGTCATGTTTTTGAGTTACATTTTTCTCCTCTGAAAATGAGAGTATAGACTACAAGACAGTTCCCTGCTAGGTCTAAAACACTGAGTCTATCTTTCATCCAATTTTGGATTCCATTCACTAAAATTCCCTAGATCTGAGATTCCCTTGAAGAACTGGTTTTCTTCCTTAATTATAACACTATTATGTTATTACCTGGACATATTTGTTATCTGTTTCTTCTATTTGCTTTTTAATTTCCATGATCTTCTCCTTTAAAACAAAAGGGCATAAATCAAAAGTTGTAATGAATGATGTGCGGAATTGAAACAAAGTGAAGATTTTTGGAAGAAAGCTCATTCATGATCAAAAAGTTTGAGATTTAATAGCAACTGTTTTTTTTGTGGGTTTTTTTGTGTTTTTTCTTGATACTGCTCTGGGTATTGATCTCCAAAATCAATATTAAGTTGTATCAACAAGATACAGTTGTCCACATCCTATGTTAAGTGGCCCTTGAGCTAGGCATTGTGCTAGTTGGAAACATGTAATGAGCATTTGCCCTCAAACCGTTTCCAGAAAGGGGCACCTGGGTGGCTCAGATGGTTAAGCGTCTGCCTTCAGCTCAGGTCATGGATCTCTGGGTCCTGAGACCCGTGTTGGGCTCCCTGCTCAGTGGGGAGTCTGCTTCTCCCTCTCCTTCTGCCTCTCATCCTGCTCATGCTCTCTCTCTGTATCTCTCTGTCTTAAATGAATAAATAAAATCTTAAAAAAAAAAAAACAAATAATGCAATATATGTTAAGAAAAAAAAAAGAAGAAGATAGCAGGAGGGGAAGAATGAAGGGGGGGGAAACGGAGGGGGAGACGAACCATGAGAGACGATGGACCCTGAAAAACAAACTGAGGGTTCTAGAGGGGAGGGGGGTGGGAGGATGGGTTAGCCTGGTGATGCATATTAGGGAGGGCACGTTCTGCATGGAGCACTGGGTGTTATGCACAAACAATGAATCATGGAACACTACATCTAAAACTAATGATGTAATGTATGGTGATTAACATAACAATAAAAAATTAAAAATAAGATAAAATAAAATGTATTATTCAAAAAAAAAAAAAAACCCAGCGGGGCGCCTGGGTGGCTCAGTTGGTTAAGCGACTGCCTTCGGCTCAGGTGATGATCCTGGAGTCCTTGGATCGAGTCCCTCATCGGGCTCCCTGCTCGGCAGGGAGCCTGCTTCTCCCTCTAACCCTCCCCCTTCTCATGTACTCTCTCTCTCTCTCATTCTCGCTCTCTCAAATAAATAAATAAATCTTTAAAAAAAAAAAAAACCCAGCTTCCAGAGAAAGTATAGTTACACTCTTCTTTTACCAAGTTCATCCATCCCCAATCCCTGAATTGTGTGACTTAAATATTTAGAAAGGAGTTGTGATCTTCTAATCACATTTTACTTGGTACCCTGGTTTATTTATATAGAAATATCTTTACATGGTACTTATCTAAGATAATTGCATCAAAGATAATAGATAGGAGTCAGTTGCAGAATGAAAGTCTATCATTCATATCAAGTCATGTTGATATGGAGATCTCAGAAAGCTTCGTGAATTTGGGGGTTAAATATCAGGCAACAGCCAAAGGCCACCTCAAAGTCCTTTCTTCACCTTAAAGGTCTTTTAATTTTGTTTCTGCTGTGTGTGTATTTTTTAAGTGATTTTACCGATTTTTCCCTCCTCTCTCTTCCATTCCTTTCTGAGTCATTCCATTTCTTCACAAGATATAAATGAGCCAATACATGTGGTTTTATTTTAACTTTATTAGCTTATTTCTCCTTTAATTTGCCCACACCACACTTTGGTTGTTGTTTCCATATCTAAAACTCTTCATTTCCCTTTACCAGAGTGAAACTACAGCCATTCCTACTGACTTTGCTTCTGTAATACTTATATTTAAAATTTCTTATTTAGGGACGCCTGGGTGGCACAGTCAGTTAAGCATCTGCCTTCGGCTCAGGTCATGATCTCAGGGTCCTGGGATCGAGCCCCGCATCGGGCTCCCTGCTCCGCAGGAAGCCTGCTTCTCCCTCTCCCACTCCCCCTGCTCGTGTTCCCTCTCCCACTGTGTCTCTCTCTGTAAAATAAATAAATAAAATCTTTAAAATAATAAAATAAAATTCATTTTATGGGGCGCTTGGGTGGCTCAGTTGGTTAAACATCTGCCTTCAGCTCAGGTCATGATCCCAGGGTCCTGGGATCGAGTCCCGCATCTGGCTCCCTGCTCTGCAGGGAGCCTGCTTCTCCCTTTGCCTGCTGCTCCCCCCTGCTTGTGCACTTGCTAGCTCTCTCTCTCTGACAAATAAATAAATAAAATCTAAAAAAAATAACAAATAGATGAAGTTTCTTATTATATTACTGCATTTGCTTTTATGGGGCCTTTCCCATCACCCTTTAGACTTATTGAGAACAGACCTTGTGTCCATTTTTAAAATCCATGTGTACTGAGGTATAATTTACATATAGTAAAACTCACTTTTTAAAAGTGTACTGTTCTATGAATTATGACATAATCAACAGAACAAGATATGTAATATTTCCATCATACCCCAAATTTCCTTGTGCCCCTTAGTCAATCCTCCGCTCCCTTTCCCCATGCAATTCCAGCAACCACTGATCTCTTTTCTGTTCCTATAGTTTTGCCATTTTCAGAATGTTATGTAAGTGCAATCACGAAATATGAATCTTCTGGATCTGGCTTGTTTCACTCAGCATAAAGCACTTGAAATTATTTCATGTTGTTGAATGAGTAAGAAGTCTATTCCTTCTTCTTGCTGAGTAGTATTCTATCCTATAACATGTACCACAGTTTATCCACATACTGGTTGGTGGATATTTGGTGTGTTTATAATTTTTAAGTCATGCTGTTTTTTTTTTAAAGTGCATACAAAGCTGTGCATCTTCAGGCCAGAGAATCTCCATATGTATTTGTCATGCCTTCCCTTTTCGTATTATCCCAAGCCTTTGTTGGTTTCTTTTTTAAATCTCATTTTCATTTATCTTTGTGCTCTTCTATCTTTCTCCTCATTCCTTTGATACCCATCCCTCCCTAACCCTACCTTCTACTGAAAGCCACATCCCTGTAACACAGCTGACTCTTGGAGAAATTTTCCAAGACAGAATATTTCTTGGCTTTGTCCTCTTCCCTTTTCTCATAATTTGCAATTTCCAAAGCCCAAAGATAGTGAAAAAAACTTTTGACTTTTCATCTAACTAAAAATGAGGTTGCTACTTCAAAATTTTGGACTAAATCGTGGCTAAAAGTATTCCCCTCCCACCCCACCCCCGGTGTTAAATCTGTGCTGATCTGTAGTTGACTTTTAGTATGTGAGGGGTCTAAATAAACATTACCTTCCTGCAATAAAAGAGACATTTCTTCTTTATTTCCTCCAAAATTCACTTTTTAAGTTTTTTGGTTTGAGCTAAAGCAGAGGAAGTAGATAGACACGGGTTTCTCCTTTCTTAGAGAATTGTTTTTCAAAGGCATGAAGTTTATAAGTACTGTCAGCCAGGGCTCTGAAGTCTAATTCTTATCCAAAGTTGGTCACTACCTTTCTAACATCCTATGACTCTTTTAAAAAGGGAAATTCAACCTTTCTCAGAAAAGAGTCTCTCGGCAGTGCAAGGCAAGAAAACTACAGAAAAACTGGAGACTGTGAAAACCAACACAAGAACTCTTCATGAAAGCATCAAAGATGAACACAAATATATCTCTTACATTTTAAGGTTGCAGTTATTCATAAATATTTAATCCCTGGATGTCTCCTTGAACTGTTAGGTGCTGGGATACAAAGATCAAGAAGAGAAGTCTTCTGTTAAGGTACTCATCATGGTCTTAAGATGGCACCAAGATATAAGCCTATCAAACTGAGTTTATAGGTAGAATTAAAAACTCGTCTTTTTGCGTTGTCAGAGAATAGAAGTGGTGGTACCCACATGACAGGTGCTCAGAACTGACCACCAGAAAGCAATCCTCCTCATGACAAAAGATGGGTTTCAATTCTTAGTGTGGTCTGTTAAATAATAGAAGGGGTGGGAAATGGTGGCAGAGTTCCCACAACCTCCCTGATTATCTTTTCCAAGCCTCTAGCTTACCTCAATGTTTTCTCCCTGATCAGGGTCAAGGTCTTGGTGTGACTCCAGCTTTTCAATTTGGTCTTCCAGAGACATCACCTCATTTAATAAGCTGCAAACAGACCAAGAGATGGACTAAGTCCTATGGATTAAGAAAAATCACCCAATAGACAATCTTTTGTGATTTTTCAAGAATGATATCCTATTCTTACATAAGAGGACTCTTGCGTTGTGGTTGTGTTGGAATGAGATGTCACAAATGCAATGCAAGAAGGTAAAAAACACTAAATAATCTAGATAATAGTAAAGAAATGTAAGGTCTAATTGGATACAGGAGCAGAAAATTTAAATGATTAAAATGGAAGCTTAGCTAAATTTCTAGAAAAAAAAAACCCACAGAAAATCTTTGGGACTTACGACTAGGCAAAGATTTAGACTTGACACTAATAACATTACCTATAAGAGGGAACATTGATAAACTGGACCTCATCAAAATTTAAAGCTTTTGTTTGGTCAAAGACTCTGTTAAATGGATTCACTTGTCAATATCTGGCAAAGGTCTTATACCTAGAATATATGAAAACTTCTTAAAACTCAACATTAAAAAACCAAACTATCCAATTAAGAAATGAGCAAAACACATGCACAGACATTTCACTAAGGAGATATATAAATGGCAAATAAAGACATGAAAGGATGCTCAGCATCATTAGCCATTAGAGAAATTCAAATTAAGACTATAATGATATATTACTACAAATTTATCAGAATGGCTAGGATGCAAAACAGTGATAATGCCAACTGCTAGTGAGGATGTGGAGAAATTGGATCACTCAGACATTGGTGGTGGGAACATAAAATGGACAGCCGCTCCAGAAAATAGCTTGGCACTTCCTGTCAAAACTAAAAACAGACTTACCATGTGACCCAGAAATTTCATTCTTGGGAAATTATCCCAGAGAAATGAAGACTTATTTTCACACAAGAATTTGTACATGAATATCCAAAGTAGCTTTATTCATAATAGCTGAAAACTAGGAATAACACACTTGTCCTTTGATGGTGAATGGTTAACCAAACTTTCTTTCTCTCTCTATATCCACATACCATGGAATACTACTCAGCAACAAAAAGAAAGGAACTATTGATATACAGGCAACAACTTGGATGAACCTTAGGAAAATTATGCTGAGTGAAAAAAATAAATCTCAGAAGGTTACATAATGCAGGATTTGATATAGCTAACCTTTATGAAACAACATAATTATAGACATATGGAAATGATTTGTCATTGCTGGAGATTAGGGGTCAGCTTAGGTGTGGCTACAAAGGGCTAACACAAAGGAGCCTTGTGCAATGGTACAACAGATTCTTGATGTGGTGGTGGTTATGTAAGGCTACCCATATAATAAAATTGCACAGAACTATACACACACTCACATGCACAAGTGAGAATACATATAACTGGGAAAATCTAAATAAGCTCTATTCATAGTACCAAGGTCAATTTCTTGGTTTTGATGGTACACTAGAGTTGGACAAGATATTACCATTTGGAAAAGCTGAGGAAAGATGAAATGGGCAAATTCCTCAAAAGATACAATCTACCGCTAATATATACCCAACAGTTCAGTAGCCTGAATGGCCCTATATATCATTAAAGAAATTAACTATGTAGTTAAAAATTTTACTCTAATGAAATATCCAGGCAATATGGCTTTGCTGGTGAATTCAATCAAACATTTAAGGAAGAAATTATGCCAGTTCTACACAAATTCATCCAGAAAATAGAACAAGTGGGAAAATGCCCCAATTTTTACTATCAGGCAAGTTTTCTGATACTAATACAAGAAAGAAAAAGGCCAATATTTCTCATTAACATTCATCCAAAAATTCCCTTTTAATAAACAGTATCCAACAATATATAAAAAGAATAATATATTATGACCAAATGGGGTTTATTCTGGAAACCCAAGGCTGGTTCAACATTGAAAAATCAGTCATTATAATTTGCCATATCAAGAGACTATGAACAAACAAACAACATGATCATTCATAGATGCAACAAAAGCTATTGAAAAAATTTAGTATAATACCTGATTTTAAAAACATCTCAGTAAACTAAGATTAGAAAACACTTTCTCAATCTCAAAAAAAAAAAAGCAAAACACCTTACATCACAATGCTTTTTCTGTAGGACTGAAAACAAGGTAAATATGTCTAGTGTCTGCTGTCATTCCTCCTATTCAACATCATACCCCAAGTTCTAGCCAATATGATAAGGCAGCAAAAAGAAGTAAAAGACATGCAGATAGAAAAAGAAGATATAAAGCTCTCTCTATTTGCAGATGACATGATTATCTATGTGGAAAATCCCAAATAACTTACAAAACTACTTGGAGCTAATAAATGAGGTTAGCAAGGTCACAAGACACAAGACCAATATACAAAAACTAATTGCATTTCTATATCCTGGCAATTAATAATTAGAAATTTTAAAATTTAAAGTATAATGGCACCAAAAGCATGAAATACTTTGGCACAAATCTAACAAAATGTGATATATCTGTACCCCGAACATATAAAACACCAATGAAAGGAATTTCTTTGACTCCAAAGTCCCTTCTCTTTATACCAGTGACTAGAAAAATAATAATTACTCTTATCTTCTCAGTTTCATCTTAAAACTTTCCACTTAAATTCAGATATGCATTAATTTAACAACCATACTTTTTAATACTTTTTTCATGTCATGCAGGTTGGATCCCTTTGGACAATACTGGCTAAAGCTCAAGGGGTTATTGGAGACTTGAAGTCCTCCCTCGGATGGCCATTAACACAGTTTCCAAAAAAAGCCAATGAGAGAAGTCCTTTCCTTGAGAGAAGAGAGAGCAAAGATGCAGATAACTTTGAAACAGGCTTTGAGATTTTGTGACATTGACTTCAAAACGTAAGACTTGGTACTTCTTATTCTGAAGGCTTGCCTAAAAGACTTTACCACCTTAAACCCAGAGTTTCTGAAGCTATGAAAATTTTCAATATTTTCTGATCAAACCCAATACCCTAAAATTACCTCTTCATTGTGTTTTCTGTTAGGTTTATTTTTTGTATAATATTGTTGATTTTCTCCATCCAGCCTATGTGATCAGCTCCAAGTTCTTTCACTTGTAGACCCATCTGTGTATTCCAGTAGTTTAGTTGGAAGAAAGTGTTCTCCTGACTCCTGCAGAAATATTATTATGATCAGTTTTAAGGTAAGAAATGGGAAACATCTTCAAATGACCCCAAACCTTCTTTCTTTGAATGGCAAGTTGGTATGCTGATTCATTTCCTGTCACCAAAATGGGCCAGGTAAGCAGTTAGGCCTCAAGAAAAAAGTTTGAGCACTTATTTGATATCCATTTTAGCAGATCTTCATAAGACTGGAGAAAATAAAATGTATTTTACATTTAGTAAAAAATAATGATATATTTTTAATTTCCCTGCATGGAATGAATGTTAAGAATTACACTATCCTAATGAATATTCTTGTTAGAAGCAGAGAGCTATGCAACAGGGCGAAGGGTCTACAAAGGTTTAACAATACATTTCTATTGAGAATTATAATTCTTTTCTTTTTTTTAAAAGATTTTACTTATTTATTTGAGAGAGAGAGTGAGTGTGAGAGAGAGAGAGGGAGAGAGAGCACAAGTGGGGGGAGGGAGAGGGAGAAGCAGACTCCCCACTGAGCAGGGAGCTTGATCCCAGGACCCCAGGACCCCAGGATCATGAGCGGAGCTGAAGGCAGATGCTTACCCCACTGAGCTGCGCTGAGGAGCTCCCATAATTCTTTTCATATCTAGAAAATTATCTGAGAGTGACAAGATATGCATTAATTCCACTCTCCAAAGAAGAGTTTGCAAAGAGAAACCTATGGCTCGGCCTATGTCTCTAGAAATACCTCTACTCCATATTCTTACTAGAATATGTAGGTAGTTACTTGTGCATATGAGTGCTTAAAGGTTTGTTTGTTTGTTTGTTTGTTTTTTTGAGTGCTTAAAGGTTTAAGACATATGGATTTTAAATCTTCCAGGCTTTCCCAAAGTGCTCTGCTAAATTTCATTTTCTCCACAGAATATTATTATTTTCTTTTTTTCTTTAAAGTATGACTAACATACAGTGTTATATTAGTTTCAAGTGTACAATATAATGATTCAAGAGTTCTATGTGTTATTCAGTGCTCATCACAATAAGTGTACCCTTAATCCCATTTATCTATTTTACTCAGCCCCCCACTCACCTCTCTTCTGACAACTACCAGTTTGTTCCCTGTACTCAAGAGTCTTTTTTGTTTGTTTGTTCATTTGTTTTTTTTCTTAAATTTTACATATAAGTGAAATCCTATGGTATTTGTCTTTCTCTGGCTTATTTCACGTAGCATTGTACCCACAAAATATTATTAAATGATTCCTTTTGCATGTGTCAAGGCTTACAGTTCAGGGATGTTCTCCTTGGAAAACTGCAAAGATGTGGATACATGAGGATCCTCATGTTGAACCTGATTTGTTTCTTGTTCATCCTGTTCATTCTGTAGGTCCTGGTGATGCTCAGCCTCCAGCTCCAACATATTCTGATAAAGATTATGAAAGAAGCAAAGCAGAAAAAAAGGGTTATAACAAGAGGTGATGATCTCTTTAGCTTATTTATGCCCCTTTCTCTGGGGGCAAGCACACAGCCGTCTCTGAGGCTGGAGCTTTCTACTGCATTTATAAAATAAGTAGACATGCTCTCCTGCTCCACTGACAGAGGAAGGCTGGGGCAGGGATGCATAGAACATCAGCGTCCTCGTGCAGAGCTCTTTTCAGTGCTGATGAACAACAGAATTCCACCCGACCATGGACTCTAGCACTCCACTCCAGATGACTGGTTTCCCAAAAAGTCAATGTGAAGGGAAAATAAAAGGGGAAGGAACTGTTTTATGTTAAGAGAGTCTAAAGAGATATAACAGCTAAATACATTGCATAGATCTTGTTTCGATGCTGATTTTAAAAGTACAGGCATTTCCTGGGTTTTGGCACCAAAAAAATTTTTAAATAAATAAATAAATAAAAGTATGGGCATTTGAGGGACACTTGAAAAAATTAGAATTCTCAAAAATTGAGGATATTAGGTTACATCATGGAATTATTGTTAGTTGTCCTGATGTGATGATGGAATCTTGGCTATGTAGAAGAAAGTCTTTATTTTTAAAAATGCTGTCTGAAAATAAACAGGGATAAAGTCTCATGCTGTCTTTGACCTACTTTTAAGTGGTTCAAAAAATTCCATCTATTTACATATGTAAAGATAAAGCAAATGTAACATGGTAACAATTTTAAAATCTAAGTGTGAGAATATGATTGATCTTCATATAATTCACTTGAGTTTTCTTTTTATTTAAAATTTTTCATAATAAGAAGTAATAAGGGAGGGGAAGCCTACTCTATCAGCTTGACCCACAAAATTTATTTTTTGTTTCTTTATTCTTTGCCTTGTTCTAGAAAAATATTCAAGGCATTTTCTGGTATTTCATTTCTATGCATGTACACAATTGACAATAATTTATCTTTGAACATTTCTCTTCTTTAGTAATGACATTGTGAAATATTTCTCTGTCCTTTGAAGAAGTTTGGTCTGAAATCCTTGTGTTTCAGCAAAACTATTTTTAAACTGGAAGGAGAAAAAGTTGGAGTGCAAATCAGTCTGTTATTGAAATGTCTGGATAAATTACTGGCCACATCACCAGGAATAACTAACATTCATGTAACTCTTTACAAACTTCTTTCACGTGCCTTCTTTCTTTTAATTCCCATGATAGACTTGACGTGGATAAAGTCAGGTGTTGAAATCCCCTAGGTCAGTCACATTAATGATTGGTCCAAGGTCATATGTTGTAGTGGGTTAAGTGGTCACTCCAAAAAAGATATGGTCATGTCCTAATGCTAAGACCCCGAGAATGTGACCTTATTTGGAAGAGTCTTTGTGGATGTAATTGAGTTAAGGGTCTAAAATGAGATTATCTTGAATTACCTGGGTCCTAAATCCAATGACAAGTGTCCTAATGAGAGACAGAAAGCACCTACACAGAGGGGGAGGTCATGTGAAGACAGAGGCAGTCACGTGTATGAGCTCACTGAGGGCAAAGGATTTTAGGCAGAGATATCCTCAACACTTTACAGCGCTTAGAACATAGTGGTTGCTCAATACGTGGTATTAGAATAGACTTCAATGTTTACTGCAGCACTATTTACAATAGCCAAAATATGGAAGCAACTTAAGCATACATCAATATATGAATGGATAAAGAAGATGTGGTGTGTGTATATATATATATGTATATATATATACACATATATATGTGTGTATATATGTGTGTGTATACACACACACACATACATACACACAATGGAATATTACTCAACCATGGAAAAGAATGAGACCTGGCCAATTGCGACAACATGGATGGACCTAGAGGGTATTATGCTAGGAGAAATAAGTCAGAGAAAGACAAATACCATATGATTTCACTTACATGTAGAATCTAAAAAACAAAACAAATGAATAAACAAAACAAAACATAAACAGATTTATAAATACAGAGAAAAAACTAGTGGTTGCCAGAAGGCAGGAGTGAAGTAGAGGAAGGGAATGGAGAGGTACAAACTTCCAGTTATGAAAAAAAATAATAAAAAGACTACATAAGTAAGGAAATACATTCTGCTTGTGAGAGATGCAGACAAAAGCAGGAAATAGGAAAGTCTGCTCACTCACTGGGCACCTGAAATCAACATTGTACATACCATGCCAGAGATTGGAAAATGCGAAATCAGAGCAAACCATTCACTTCTAAACATGTTGGGGGCTTTGACAGTTAGCTATGGCAATTTTGGCAGCCTGGCTAAAGTCTATTTTGTTAATTAAACCAACTGATTTTTTTTAAAAAACTTCTGTTAATTCTGTCCTTTTTCTGAACCTTCAAATCGTATGGTCTTATAAAAAAAACAAATGTAAGATTATACAAATTAAAGACCTTCTGTTTTGCTTCCAGAGAATAAGAAACCATTTCTTTCTCAAGAAGTCATATATTTGTCCTTTTACTAGCAAAGAGCCTAGTTTATTAATACTTCTGTTAATTATATAATTGCACGTGATTTATTTTTACATAATTGTAGAATTTGCCGCATAAATAAACTGATATAAAGAAATATAGCCAAAATTTTTAGAAAGCCTTTTGGTAAACCTTATACCCTGACTTGAAGTTTGTAAGAAATAGTCTTTTTGCCTTATACCATGAGAATGTGGACTATTTGGTAAAAATAATTCACTCTTACAGAGTGAATAATTTTATTCTCTAATTAGACTTACTCTGATTTGAACTGGGTCAACAGGTGATGTTCACTGATGGACAGGATTCAGCAGGGCACATTACACTGTGCATGCAGGGAAGGTGTCCTGGCTAAGTGGGTTTAATGGCAGCAGCCCCTGCGTGGAGGCCAGAGGCCCCCACCCCCCCAAAATCAGATGATATTATTTATAGAATAATACCTTCATTTGTTCCCTAAGATCATAGGGCCTCATACTTCAATTGCCCTATTTCCTTTTCTCATCTTCAGCCTTCCTAAAAACCCCATCCTAAGTCTCCCCTTCTCATTCAGTTCCTATTTTTTTTTTCCCATAGAAGGTGCTCTGTCTGTCTGTCCTTTCACTTCTTGTCTGTCTCATTTTATCTATTCTCCATATCTCTAACTCCATCCCCTCATGCCTTCTAGCCCCTTCTATTTCTTTGTTTGCTTACTGAAGAATCCTTAAAGATAAGGTCCAACTTAAGATATTCTTTGGTGGCCTTTCCTTCTATGGATTGACAGAATTAGCCATCCCTGAATCCAAAATATATTCAAAGTACTCAAGTAGACAATGAGCTCGATCCTGAGCTTCCTTTTGGGGCTGCATAGGCCTGGGAGTGAACATTCCCACACTATCCTTCCTTCATGTTTTTTGGACTGGTTGAAACCAATGGTCAATGGCCTGGGGAATTTATGGAGAGATTTGCTCAATGATAATAAACTCGGTCTGTCTCAGCCATGATTTTGCTTTGATCTAAATGGTGGTGGAAACATAAACCCTTTCCAGGATAATCTCAGGCGTTTGTTGAAATTTCTTCCATTCCACGTCAGCTGGGTGACTGAATTTCAAAGACCGAGAGATGTTCAGACTGAATGAAGAGTAACTAGATCTCTCTCATGCTTCCTGTTGGAAGACAATCTGTGAGCAGGGGGCAATTTGACGCATGGCAATTTAGTCCGAGGTGAAAAGGTCACAGTGTTTTCACAGATCCCAAGGCCCGAAGTAACATATAATGTACAAGTCATTGTGTGGGAGGGCTAGCAAGTCCCTCATGTGATAGCAGCAACCCGCAGAGGAGACACTACCTCCTTCCTGGTTTCAAGCTCCGAACACCCTGCACCGACCCCAGGGAAACCCTCAGGTGTTTCCTTACCGCGTTGAGGTAGGAGATGGCAAGTTACTCTCTTCACCCACCGTGACATTTAAGTCTCCCCCTTACCCATTTTGTAGTCTCTGTCTCATGAAGGAAGTCGGTTTGCGGCTTTTCGGAGAAAATGTTGTCCTTATCATCTGATCTGTCCAAGATGTGGTCCATTTTGGTAAAATCCCTTAGCAAACTGTAAGCCACACAGCCAAAACAGATGCTGTTATTATGCCTTAGGAGCACAGTATAGGCCTGCCCTAAACATTTCTGGAGGGAGAACGCTGGACTCTTTCCCGGGGCCCAGGACCACCTGATCTGCCTCCGCGTGAATCACGTCGGGCATAGTACGCTGCACAAAACGGGAATAGAGAGGCTGGGTAAGTATTTGCTGACTGAATCTAGAAGAGATTGAACAGTGAGATTTCAAATTCCAAAGCCATTGCAGCTGTGTGGCTGTGTGTGTGCAAATGTGTGTGTAAAATAAACAAATAATAAACACTCTTTTTAAAAAAGTAGAGTTAAAAAGTGCCATGTAGTTCAAAGGCCATGCAGAACGGAGTAAGTCTGCGATCCCATCTTGATCTCTAGCCCCAGATGTCCTCCCCACAACACTGGCTGGTTTCTTCTTTCTTCTTTCACAGAGATTCGATGCCTAAATAAGCAGCTATGCTTATGTAAATATATATGTCTTTTAAATCTATATGAGAGAATATTATACACACTATTCTGTACCCTATATTTCTTTTTTAACAGCCTCTTGGCGTTCATTTCATATCAGTACATGCAGAGCTGCCTCATTTTATTTTATTTTATTTTATTGAGATTTATTCATTTATTTGAGAGAGAGAGAGAGAGAGAGAAAGACCACAAGTGGGGGAAGGGGGAGGAAGAGAGAATCTCCAGCAGACTCCCCACTGAGCCTGGAGCCGGGATGTGGGGCTTGATCTCACAACCCTGAGATCATGACCTGTGCCAAAACCAAGAGTAGGACGCTTAACTGACTGAGCCACCCAGGTGCCCCTGCCTCATTTTAAAAATGGTTATATGGTACTCCATTGTGGGGCCATACACTAATTTGCGAATCAATTCTTTATTAATGCATACGTAGATTCTTTCCAGTTAATTGCTACTACAAACGATGCTGTAATGACCATCCCGACACACCTATGTGTCGATGTATATGTGTACAAGTATATCTATTGAATAACCCTACAAATAGAATTGCTGGGTCAATAGATACATATATTTTAAATTTTGATAAATGCTACCGAGTTATGCCTTAAAGAGGTTGAACCCATTTACACTTCCAGCAAAAATGATGAGTGTGCCTGTTTTCCACTCTTTTTCTACAATCATGTATTATTAAAGTTTTTAATCTTTGCCAGTTCCGTATGTTTAAACTGGTATCTCATTTCAGTTTTAATCTTTTTTTTATTAGCGAGGTTAAGCGTCTTTGCCTCTGTGTATAAAACTCATTTGTATTTCGTTTTCTACAGTGTGTTAATATCCTTTGCCCATTTCCTATCGGATCACTGTTGTTTTCTGGAGGGCATGTGTGTGTGTATATGTATATGGGTTAGCCCAGTGATGGGTATTAAGAAGGGCACGTTTTGTGTGGAGGACTGGGTGTTATATGCAAACAATGAATCATGGAACACTACATCAAAAACTAATGATGTACTGTATGGTGACTAACATAACATAATAAAAAAAATATTTTTAATGAAAAAAATTATCTCCCCTAATACAGTAAGTTATGTAGTACCATTAATGACACTGATAGATTCATCTTCACTTGTGGAAATAATTACTAATAATTCATAATGCTGTATTAAAGGATTATTTAGCTACTTAAAAAAATAAAAATAAAAACATCTTTGATGTCATAATAGCTTTTTTTGACATACAAGTGTTCTGGAAAATCTTTTACTTTAATAAATTTCACCCTATTTAAAAAGGTTGTTAACCATTGGTTTATATTATAACACATTTTTATCATGTACTAACAAATGCATATGTATATTTACATGAACACTTTGTGCTTTGTCTACTATACAAAGCATTGTAAAATGGTTTATATATTTTGCAGGTGAAGATAATAAAGGCACAAAACAATCAAAGTATTTTTGCAAATTGAGATTAGAGCCTTGACAATTTCTATTCAGCTGATGTCCACCTGGTTCATGACCATAGGCCCCTTTAGTGTCTCACAAAAAATATTCATGAGGTCAAAATTAGAAGAATCGTAGAGAAGACGGTCAACCCACCCCTGAACTTGGCAGTCTCATTATTTGCATCCTGCTGTCCCGAGGAAGTGTCCGGACAGGACCACAAAAACTGCCCCCAGGGCCCAGGCTTCACTTACTTCTGCATTGCACCTTCAGCCACATCCATATTTTGGAGAAAGCCATTGTTTTTCTTGGTCAACTGTTGTTCCTTCCCAACTGTCATCATCTGCAGAGATGTCCTGTCACTTAGCTTCATGAGCGCCATTTCTTCAGCACTGCGGGGACAATGATGGCAACAAGATGGCTTTCACCACAGGATTGGCAACTATATTCCCTTCGCTGATACACTGAGAGCAGGTGTATTAACCCTTCTCCTACCCAAACTGACCATCAGTTGTAAGGGACCCCAGAGTAAGTTCTTAAGTTACTCTGTTCAAATATATACAGGAAAGTTTCTGTGTGTGGCTATTCCTTAGGATGTCTCTGGTGAACATGAGGGTTGTCTGAGCCTGCAAATGTGTATTTTGAATCTTTGAATGGGACTATTAGACAGCAATATAAAAGAACCAGGCTAGGGAGACAGGAAACTTCACTTTCATAATCTCTTTCTGATCATATATATATATGCATTGTAAAAAAATAGAAAAGAAGAAGGAACTAGAAATCATTGGTACTCTGGAGATAACCAGAGACACCAGGGAGATATCCAGACAAAACCACTGTTAATATTGTGTTGTATTTATTTCCATTTCTAAATTTGATATTTGTCTTATTCTTTTTCTATTGTTGACAAATAGGTTATATCTAAGTTTTTACTAATATAAATAATATAGTAATGAATATCCTTGCTTAGTAATTTTCAGTGCATCTCTATTATTTACTTAGGATACTTCTTTAGAAGTAAAACTACTGGGTCAAAGTGTATATGCTTTTTTTTTTTTTTTAGAGAGGGAGAGGGCGTGGGGTAGGGGAGAGGGGTAGAGGGAGAGAGAGAGAGAGAATCCCAAGCAGTATCCACACCCAACATGGAGCCCAATTTAGGACTTGATCTCACAACAATGAGATCATGATCTGAGCTGAAACTGAGGCAGTCACTTAACTGACTAAGCCACCCAGGCACCCCAAAGTGTATATGCTTTTCTAATTTTATTTATTTATTTATTTATTTAGAGCAGGGGGAGGGGCAGAGGGAGAAGGAGAGAGAGAATCTCCAGCAGACTCCCCACTGAGCACGGAGCCTGACACAGGACTTGATCCCATGACCCTGAGCTGAAGTCAAGAGTTGGATGCCCAAGCAACTGAGCCACCCAGTGTCCCTGTAAAGATTTAGAAAAATATTCCCAAATTACTTTTCTAAAGTTTCAACCACTGTACACCACCAGCATCTGTATAGGAGAAGGGGAACTTTCGTTCCAGCCAGGCAGGCAAGTGTTAGCAGGTGGCAGAGGAGTGAATTGTTAGAGTACTGAAGTGCTGAGAGATATAAAGGTGAAAGGAAATAGAAAGGGGGTAGAGAGGTGTGAGACAGGTTCTAGAAAGCTCATATGAAAAGCTAAAAGAAAGGATCCATATGAAACATAACTCCTAGTTATTGGCAGGAATCACAGGGAGTACCCACCACCAAACAGGAGGAAACTTTCTCCTCTGGAGTGTGGCCTGGCCCCAGGGCCCTAAGAGACAGGGTCCCTGAGGGATCGAGGGGACTATAGACTCATGGAAAGGAAGGGATAGCAGGGATTTCCCTGGAAGAGGAATGGTAGGAGTATTGAGGGTTGGGGAACCCAAGATTTTGGAACAATCTGGGCAGCTAATGGCTTGGTCCATCACTCAGTGGCAAAATTCTGTTTTGTGTTTGACCAGTGTGGGGATCTGCAATGGATGTAGTACAAAGGGGACTCCTGTGAAGGAGGAGGAAAGGGAAAGACTAGAATGTTTGATGTGAGATAGCTCCATCCTTCTTAACTCTGAGTGTGACAAAAAAGAATAAAAATTTGATCTCTTTCAGGAGGGACACTGTGACCTGCCCAATTTCATCACTGTTCCTATCTGGACAGTTTCATCTGTTTCCTGAAAATGTTAAGCATTACTAAGGCAAATGCAAGCTCTGAAAGATGAATGGCCATGAAATCTGCCTGGTTTCATGTCTCTTTCCTGTCCAAAAATTAGAATACTGTGCAAATAATATTTCCTTATTTTGGTAATTTTTTGACATCCTAATAGCTTCCATTGGGTGATTTAAAAGAAAATCTGTTTCTCTCAGTTCAAGTACCTACACAAATTCTACGTCCATATATTCTCTCTTATTTCAAACAACAGAATCCTAATGATGGCTTATGTTTGTACAGCTCCTAATAGATTACAGTGCTTTTCACATATTATCTTATTCAGTTCCCACAACAACATGGTGAGGAAGGTATTATTCCTGTTTTATGTGTGTGTGGTCTGGAGCTCTGGGAGATGGTGTGATTGACTTAGAGTCATACAGCTGGCTAACTAGCAAAACTAGGACTCAGAATTTCCATGTCCTCACAGCTACTTGTAAGGGGTTTCTCCTCCACCCTGATCTAGACCAGGGCTCCCCTATAAATCTTTGTTATGTTGGAAATCTCTATACTGTTCAGTACAGTAGGCACCAGCCCCCTGTGTCTATTGAGCATTTGAGATGTGGCTATTGCAACTGAGGAATTGAAATTTTAATTTAACCTGAATAAATTTAAATTCAAATAGCCATGTGTGGCTGGTGGCTACCATATTGAACAACTCAGAATTTTCTAGACCAGGAATCAGCAAACTATAGCCTATAGGCCAAATCCATCCAGTCACTTGTCCTAAATAACATTTTATTGGAACACAACCACACCCATTCCTTTTCCTATTGTCTATGACTGTTTCTGTGCTGCAAAGACAGAGTTGAATGGCTGCAAGGGATGTAAATTTGGCACACAAAGCCTAAAATAGTTACGATCTTGATCTTTATGGAAAAAGTTTGCCAACCCCTGTTCTAGACCATCACCTTCTTCTGTGATGATGGGTGTTTTCTACAATGAATCAACTGGATGTAGTGAATAAGAATTTGAGTTTTGGAGAGTCAGGCTGAGTTCATACCACAGCATCAACTCTTAGCAGCTGGGCATAATCTTAATATTCTAGGTCTTACTTTTCTCATTGGTAGAATTGAGCTAACATTACTATCACTAGTGTTAAGAGAGTTGTGAGGAGTAAATCAAATAATTCGTATTGTACTTAACAGTGTCAGATAGATGCAAACACTTGGCGATGTTATCTATTAAAATAAAAACAGTAAAGACGGGAGCTATTAGTAAGGTTTCTTGAACTCCAAATAGAATAATAATAATAATAATAATAATAATAATAATAATAATAATAATAATAAATAATAAATAATAAATAATGCTTACACATACGCAGCAACTTTACTTTATTAAAAACTTTCACTAAGTTGTTTCATTTGATTCTCACATCTGCCCTGAATGGTCAGGCAACCCAGGCAGATCTTATAACCTCTATTTTTTAGATGCAGAAACTGAGACTCAGAGAGGGCCCATGATTTGCCCAAAGTTTTATTGCTAGAAAATGGTAGAATCAGGATTTACACCTGCAAGTTTTGGCTACAAGTGTGGCAATTATCCTACTACTATACATACATTTGATGCCCAATATGTTTTAATGGGTTACTTAATAGCCTTCTCACCTCAAAAACAAGCTAACTTTTTAAGCTACCTTTTTTTTTTTTTTTTAGTAATCTCTACACCCAGCATGGGGCTTGAACTCAAGACCTGGAGATCAAGAATCATATGCGCTACTCAGCAAGCCAGTCAGGTGCCCCTGAAGTCAACTCTTGACTAGTTATGTAGTTTTGATCCTTGCTACTCAAAATATGGTCTGCAGACCAGCAGCATCAGCACCATCCGGGAGCTTGCTATAAACACCCAGAATCTCAGGTTCTACCCTAAACTCACTGAATCAGCATCTGCATTTTCACAAGATCCCAGGTGATTCATATATGTATTGAAGTTTGGAAGTATTCAAACTCTAGACCTTTGAAACTCGAATCTGTCTTCTCCATCCTACACCCTATCTCTTCATTCCTATATGTTTACACCATTGACTTCTAGGGTTGTTTGGTACAACCGGAATGAATCCCTCCTCCTTTCCCCAACCTCATCAAAACCTTTAAAATTACAAATTTGGTGGGGCACCTGGGTGGCTCAGTTGGTTAAGCATCTGACTCTTGGTTTCAACTCAGGTCATGATCTCAGGGTCCTGAGATCGAGCCCCATGTTGGGCTGCATGTTCAGTGCAGAGTCTGCTTGGGATTCTCTCTCTCTCTCCCTCTCCCTCTGCCCTTCTGCCTCTCCCCTGACCCCATGCTCAATCTCTCTCTTTCTAAAATAAAAAAATAAATCTTTAAAAAATATAAATAAAATTACAAATTTGGACAAGCATTATTCAAAAGGAACAGATAAACTATTTTAAAAGACAGCTGGTGAAATCTGGAACTTACATTTCATGGGGGATTTTCTCCAGGCCTGACCACTCAGATCACCCTCTTCAGTACCTGCTAGCCAGACAATTTGGGTTCCCAGAAATTTTAAAGCATGGTTGAAATAATCAAGGATTTGATGTCACCATAGGCTTCTGGCCAGGTGAGTGAGGTGGTGGTGAGATGGTAGAGCTGTGAAATATGTCTCTGCCTGGTGATATCTTGTTCTTCCCGATTAGGCAATCACAAATAACCTCTCAATTCAGTGGGGTAGACTAACAACAGTTAAGTTTCCCTGGAAAGTTCTGGTAATACCAGATCCGCCTTTCCCCAGCGCCAAAGGCAGAGGTGAGGCCATTTATGAGTGGTACACACCTAGGCAGGTGAGTTTGCAGTTGGACTTGCCCTCTCTGACATTCCACGTGGAATGTGGCACATGCAACCCTTCAACCCCCTCTCACAAGGTTCCAGGGGTGCAGAGCTCTCCTGCTTTCTTTTAACTTATATCTCCAGCTTGCCTCCCAGCTTCCTTGCTTCTCCTGCCAACACTTTGGAAACTAAATCCAGCCCTCTGCCCATCTATCTACCGACATGATGCTCTGGGATGCTCTTCCAACTTCAGCTGCTTCTGCCATGCCCGCTCCTTTCATCTCCTTGTCTGAACAAGGCATCACAGACCTTCTGCAATAGAGGACATGACTTCTCCCATTTCCCCCCACTTAGCAGGAATGAGGAAGCCATTGATCTGGCAAACCAGAGCT